TATCCATCTGGGTTTTTTTTTTATCCTTTATAATACCTTCCTTGGCTTGTTCTCCTTCTGGCTTTTGAATTCTTCCTCTTTTTTCCACTGTTCTATTGCATAAAGTCAACAATTAAATGCTTTGCCCTAAAAGTTCTCTACCCCCACATTTAAGCTTTAAGCTTTCCTTATGAGTAGGATAAAAATGTCAGCTTTTTCTTTTCTTCAAAATTAGCGCAGCTGAAACACAGTGCATCTGCTCAGCCACGAAACAAAACCCGAAAATCACCTCCATTTTTGTACTTTTTATTTTGCCATCCTGCTGCTTTCAAAGGAAACACCAACAAGACTCTACCATCAGAAGAGACCCACTACATGTGGTAACAATGAAGCCACTTCCAGGCTCCTTTTAAGCAGGTTTTGCCCAGTGCTGAGACTGTATAACGGGGTGGGAAAGGTTATTTTTTTCACGTTTGGGGGTTATAACTGATTGGAAATGTGTAGATAAAGAAAAATATTCTTAGGTACTCTTAGAAGTCTTTGAGATGCAACTATTACAGTTTATTTCAATAAATTATTTTGATTGGTTTCTTTTTCAAAGCAGATTAATTTAATTTATTTTTTTTACATGTTGGGGAAAAATGGTTTAGTAGCTTGTTTAGATATATTATCATTAAATGAATTTCCTAGAATAGCTTTAAGTTCATGTCTCTTTTTCACTGTTTTATTAGTAGTAAAACAAGTTTCATCTGTTTAATGGCCTCATGTTGGGGATTAGGGATGTTCATTTATGTAAACTGAGAATTCAACTTTTAGTGCTTTCCAGTGTGACACAGTTCCCAAAGACTATGTTTTTCCCCTGAAGGACTAGCAATTCTCATTTTAATGGGGAAACCTGGGCTGGAGAAAATTGTACAGTAAATTGGAGTTTGTTCTTCTTCTAAAACGCACCCTGCTAACCTGCCATCTAGTACTACTGGGTGTAGATGTAGTCATGAGAAATTCCAACTTTAACAGGTATTAGTAGTAATTGAGATTGTCTCATTACTTGTTAAGTGTGCAAGACATTCTTCTCACTATGAAGTTGTATATAAACTATTTAAATTAAATGGCATCTGTCACTGTAGAAAAAGTTAATTTTGTGCGATGGACTTCAATGTGTTCTTTTAATTCTACAAGTTCTTGCTCTTGCTGCTTCAGAAAGTGCTGTGATCTAAAGGGTGTCCTGGCCATTAGCTTATGTTAGTAATACTCTGCTGCATTGCCTAACTGCTTTGCCCAAGAGCACTGTTTTAATTGCATGAAAGCCCCTTGGGTTGTTTGAGCTTGAATCCCACTGTTGCTCTAGCACCTGGTCCTTGTCCAGAGGCTTGTAAAACCCCAGACTGAGGCATGGCCATTTACCACCTTGCTGCTGTCAGACTGGGACATTCCATGTACATCTGGTGTGTCTGTATACGGGAAGCTCCTCTCAGATGGAAAGCTTTGATTTTCTGAGTGGGAGGAGCTTCATGTCCTCAAATTATAGCTCTGTCAGAAAATAGGACTACCTCTTCTCTGCTGGGTTTACCTTATTCAGCACAAATGATTGCTGCTTTAAGCACTAGGTCTTGCAAACTCTTTTGGTTTAAGAAGCCATCTGATTGGGCTTAAGTGAAAAGGACCCTATAGTCAAAGGACAGTTGGTGACTAGTAAGAGACTTGGTTAACAGCTAAGCAATCACAACAGGCTGCCAGACCAACTTCTGTTAGTAAAAGCTGTTGCATGAGTCTAATGAGAGACACAGTTTGGGAATGTGATCAAGACCTTAACGAAGCTGCATGAATCCGAATCAACATCCAGCTCTGCTGTGCTGTCTGCTTTTAGCAATCTAATGAGTAGGTAGGAAAGGATGTGTTCCAGGAGCAGGGAGGTGGTGAGAAGGGTGGGACTGTTCTTGCAGGGTCACCTTTACCACAGCTTGGTGAGGCTCCCAGGTCACAAGCTTGATGTTATGAGATGGGCAAAGGCTACTGCATAGGTAAACACCCACCCCCTTTGGAGAATGTGTCTCAGAGCACAAAGCAGTTGGTTAGAGATAAGCACTGGAGAGCAGGGGATGGACTTTTGTCATCAGCAGCCATCAGGTGGGAGGTGTGTTTTCACAAGCAATGAGAGGAGAGGCCACAGTCCTGCCGTGCATTAATCCATGGCACGTCCTGTGTTTCAGGGTGGTGCTAAATCAGATGCCTGGACTGGGTGTGAGGCAAGGAGCCACATCCACCTGCAATCAGGAAACAGCAGCTTACACGGGTGTGGATGGGGCCAGGCAGGCTGATGAGTAAGTAGTAAGGAAGTAGAGAGTGCTTTGAACAGAGATGCTCAGGCTGCATGTGTGTGTATACAGGGGTGGATTATTCCTGGAGGACTGGACCTACAATGTCTGCATTGCTCTGCCTGCCTGATGCTCCAGGGCAGCAGGGTGATTCCTCTAGGCATGGCTGATGAAGAATCTGGCCCTGCCTTGCACCATGGCCTGGAGATGGGTTTCACCGTCTGTTGCTTATTTCAGCAGAAAACTTGGAGGATAAGGGTTTCTGTGGCTTAAAAGGGTGGTTATTCCCACAAGCAGTGACTGGCTGCTTTTAAAAAGAGTAGTGTAGGAGCTGCGTAGTATTACCAAGCAGTCCAAGAACTCCTAAGTCATCCTAGGGTGATAAACCAGAGTGGATGCATGCTGGATCCAGTAGGGAAAGGTCTTTTTGTAATTCCAAACTTCCTAAGAGCTGCTTTATAATTTAAAAATTGGAGAAAGCAGCTTCTCTGTGTCATCCCAACAAGCGAGCACAGGGTGGTCACAAAATCTTTTCACACCTTGTTGTTAGACTGCTGAATTGAATACCACAAGGGAGAGAAAACTGCTCTGAAAAGATGACAGACAAGGTCTGCAACAGCATGCAGGGGGGAGGAAAAAAGCACTACTTGCGTCACGGAGAAAGGTCATGGAAAGGCTGTAAAATGAGAATCCCAAGATAGCACCGTCCTTCCCAGTCTTTGTCTTAACAACACTGGAGATAGTAAGGGAAAAACCTGACACAGCTCTGGAGCAAAGGCATGTTCCCCATCAGACAGCTTTAGTCAGCTCACAAACTTCTTTCATTTGGGGTTTCTTCCCTGAAGCTTGCTGTACACAAAGGCTCTGGTGGCATTCCTAATACCCATAACCTGATTGCTTTTAAGAGCTCCGAGTCAAGGCTGGAGGAAGGCTGTAGTGAGCTCTTTCCCAAGGAAGCCTGGTGCATGATGTGAATTGTGGCAACGGCTCTGAATGTGGTGGGAAAGACTTTGGCATTTTACCAGGCAACAGCTGCTTTGCATGTTGGTACTGATCTAGGCTATAACCTGCCACTGGGTCTAAGAGGGAGGAAGATACATAGAATTGATTCCTCCTGCTGTGAGGGAGTCCTGGAGGGCTCCCCAGGTGCCCATACCACTGTCTCAGAGGTTACATAGGAGTTGAATTTCTCATGAGTTCAAGCTTGTGCTGTCCTCTGAGAGAGGAACGATCATTCACAGGACACTGCCCTGGATTACCGAGCTCTTTCCTCTGTGAAAGAAGAGAACCAGGCTGGGAAAAGGTTGTGGCCACAGAGTCAGGCAGAGTAGTGTCCCCTCTGCAGGAAAGACTTCCTCCCTCAGACAAACCCCAGCCAAAGCAGAGACCTCAGTTAGTGCCTGATCAAAGACTCAAGGCATTCCCCAGCAGTATGTTATGCAAGGGTCAGGTTCTGCTGCCCTGATTCCCGTTCCTCCCCGAAACTGCAGGCATTCAGACACATGCCTCGAATATGTGAGCAGTCCCACCTACCACACTGGTGTGCCCCAGAGCATCCCGCTGGAGCAGAGCCAGCAGCCCCAGTTTAACAGGCACTGACACCCACTGGTCCTATGGCTGGGGTCATGCAGCAGCAGGAGCATCACCCAGGCAGTGATGCATCCCTGCCTCATGTACTTAGCTCTCTTCCTGCCTCTATAAAGGGTCTATTGGAGAGCAAGATTAGGTGCAAGATTAACCTGTGGTATTTGTTTTACTGTTTAAAAGCTCATTTATGCTAATTCAGAGAGCAGAGTACATTACAGAATCCGTGCAATCCAGTGAGATGCCTAAAGCCAGCTTGTTATTTGTAAACTCTTATGAATGACTGCACTGAACATCTCTTCTCTGCACCTGGATTCCAATCCCACACACTCCCATCACATAAACACCCAACAGGCAATTAAGGGCTGGGGTCTCTGGGAAAACGCAGCTCTGGTTATGAAACTGCCTTCCCCCTACAAGCTTGGGAACTGTACCACAGCACAGCTCCTTTTCTGCCCAACACAGACTCCTCCAGCAACACTTTCCATCCCCAGGCATGGGAATAAGCTCTAGCCACTATGCAGTCCTGCAGTGTGAGGAAAAGGACTGGATATGCAAGTATCGGTGCTGCTGGGCAGTCATGGGGAGCAGCAGGGCTGTGGTGGTGCCCTGCATTCCTTTCTGCAACGGCTGGTGGGCACAGTGGGCTGAGAAGTGGGGTGGGAGTGCTGCACCCTCCTCTGCTCAGGGCTCCCCAGCTGCCACCCTCTGCCATGGCCAGGTGCTCTCTGAGGATTCTTGCTGGAAGGCTGGACCTCAATCAGCGCTAGTTTTAAAAGCGGGCTCATCCTTAACCTGCTGGGATTAAAAAGGGATGTGGCCATGGCCAGTGCCCAGAGTTTAGGCAGTGTAAACAAGCGTTTTGCAAACCCAGGACCAAAACCAATCTGCTGCTGTAAGCAAAAGCGAGAACTCCACCCTGGCTGGGACCAGGCTGTGAGCTTCACACCAGAGTCTGATACTCCAAACCCATGGTCCCTCTAGCACTGGGGATTGTGGCTGCCCGCAGCAGCTGGTGCCTGCCCTGTGAGGCACATAGGACTTGCCTACCAGGGTCCTGTGTGCTTCCAAAAGAGTTGTTTGCATCCTCCCACTGGTAGAAAAGCAAGAAACGGGGGTAAGGGCAGAGAGGCTCAGACAGCGGTTCATCAGATTAATTTAAAGTACATTCTCCAATAGGTTCAGTCTGTTTCACAGCATTTCCTGTCTGCATGGCTTCCCCTTGCACGGTGGCCAGCAAGGCCCCATCTCCACTGGGGGGGATCCTAGGGAGCCGTCTCTCAGTCACTCTCGCTGCCAGTGCGGTGGGATGCTGCCCCGCGGCCGTGCTGCGGCCTGAGGCAGGCAGGCAGCGCTGCCCTGCCAGCCGGCAGCGAGGTCTTGCTGACAGAGGACACGCTGCTGGCCAGGGGCCGAGTGGGGAACATAATTGTGCCCCGGGGAGCCTCCAGGAGCTGCCAGATCTCCCCCGAGGTGGCGCTGCCCAGGTATTCCCAGGGCCTGCGCCCGCTGCTGTCCCGCAGCTGCACTTGGCAGCCCAGCTGCAGCACCAGCACCTTGATGACGAGCTGATGCCCGTGTATGGCAGCCAGGTGTAGCGGCGTGTACCCGCAGCCCGACCGCGCGTCCACGTCCAGGGCCAGCCCAGCCTGCTGTGCCGCCGCTGCCAGCTCCTGCAGGCCCTGCCCGTCGCCGTGCTTGGCCAGCCAGTGAAGGATGGTGAAGCCCGACATGAAGTCCCGCTGCAGCGCCAGCTCCGGCTCCTCCAGGAAGAGCCCCCTCACCCGCGCCCAGCGCCCCGCTGACACCGCCACTAGCCAGGTGTGCTCCCGCTGCCCCAGCGGCACCAGCAGCCCCCGGCCTGAGACGTGCCGAGGGGAGCTCTTGGGCAAGGCGCGGGGCTGCCGCCCGCAGTCATCTGGCAGCGACAGGGGGCTGTCCTGCGCCTCCAACAAAGCAAGCTGGCACCTGATGCTCCTGAAGATAGGTGGCGGGGCTGGGGGGTTGCTCTCTGGGGCTTGGGGCCCTGCGGGGCCCTCTGCTTTCATTAAGGACTGGGACAGGGGTGGCCTGGCAGGGGGTGTTTGGGTGGAGCACTGTGGTGGGGACTGGGATGGGGGTGGCCTAGTGGGGGGCAGCGCCCTAGGATGTGATGGCAGTGGCAGGGATTGACGTGGGTGCAGCAGCAGGGTTTGAGGTTGGGTTGGTCCACTGGGGGCCAGCACCCTGGATGACCTCAGTGGGGCTGGACTGGTGAGGAGATGCTGCATGGACCGGGACTGTGCCGAGGGCAGCCTGGTGGAGGGTAGCACGTTTGGGCCTGATGGATGCTGTGGGGATGAGGAGGTGCTGGCAGGGAGCGCCTGCAGGGACCGGGACAGGGGCAGCACCCCTGGGGCGGACAGCAACGGCAGAGACCGGGATGGGGGTACCTCGGGGAGGGGAGGCTGTGGGGAGGTGGGAAGGGCCAGCTCGGTGGCGGACAGTGCTCTAGGGCCCGATGGCAGCAGGGGGGACTGGGACGGTCCGCTGCGGGGCCGCCGCCCCGGGCTTGATGAGGGTGGCGGAGCCTTCAGTAGGGGCATCCCGGTGGGGAGCTGCGGGGGAGGCGGGGGCTGAGGCAGCCTATCAGGGGGCAGTGGCCTGTCAGGGTCCAGCACCCCGTGGCCCGGCGGCAGTGGCAGGGCTCGGCTTGGGGCAGACCCTCCAGGGTGTTGTGGTGGCAGGGACCCTGATGGGGCTGACCCAGAGGGAGGCAGGCCCCGCGACAACGGTGGGGACCGGCACCGGGACGGTCTGGCAGAGGGCGGCTGTGGGGTCTGGTATGGGGGCAGCCCGGCGGGGGTCAGAGCCCCAGGACCCGTCGGCAGCGCCGGGGGCCGGCAGCGCGGGGGCCCGTCGGGGTGAAGCGTCCAGGGGCCCGAGGACAGCGGCCGGGTCCGATAGGGGGGCGGCTGTGTGGGGGGAGGAGGAGAACGGGAGCGGGGCGGCCCGGCGCGGGGTGGCTGCCCGGGGCGCGTTGGGGCAGCGGCGGCGGCAGCGCGGCGCGCTCGGCGGCACTCGCAGCAGGGTCCGCCGCGGCCCCGGGCAGAACAGCCCCCCGTGACGGCGGCCCTCTGGAGCTGCCCCTCGCCCAGGTGGCTCTTCTCCACCGCCTCCCCCTGGGGGCAGCGCCTCCCGTCGGGGTCGCGTCGGGGCGGTGGCGGCTCCTTCTTCTCCTGCTGCTGTTCCTCTGGCGGCGGCAGCTCCTCATCGAGGAGGTCGCGGTACCTGCGGCGGAGGACGATGTCCTTGGAGGCGCCGGGGGTGGCGCCGGGGTGGACGGTGGCCAGGGAATTGACGAGGCTCTTGAAGTATTCGCGACGCTCCCGCTGCTCCGGCTCTGTCAGGGCTGGGTCGCGGAGGAAACGCTGGAAGTGGCGAAGCAGCGCCGTGTTGGGGGCTCGGCCCCCGGCCTCCCAGAGGAAGTCCAGCACGGCCTCCTGGCTCAGCTCCCGCGCCATCCTTCGGGCCTTCCACCTCTCGGTACTCCTCCTCGGTGCTGCACGTCGGTGCTCGGCGCTGAGCCCAGGTGCGCAGCGCTGCCGCGGCGGGGAACCCGCCTCCTGCCGAGCCGGGGCTCTGCGCCTCCTCCTCCTCCGCCTTCGCAGCCGGGCCGCCACCCTCGGGTGCCTTTGCCCGGGGTGGTGGCCCGTGGGGCAGCGAGGCTGAGGTGACAGCGGTGCGAAGCAGCAGCGGGAAGGGAGGGAAGTAGGGCTGGAGGAGGCCTGCTCATGCTCTGAGAAGTGCGAGGCTAACTGCTGGCGTGCGGTGAGAAGAACCAGCACTCCATCAGTCATTGTGCCAGTGAACAGACAGGAGGCAATGGGCACAAACTGAAATGCAAAAACTGCCGTTTGTGAGTGAGGAAAAACTCTTTTACAGTGAGCAAGTCAGGTACTGGAGCAGGTTGCCTGGAGAGGTTGTGGTCCCCATCCTCAGAGCTCCACTGCATGCAGACCTCTGTGTGTGACCCTCTGAGCAGGGGCTGGACCAGAGCATTTCCAGAGGTGCCTTCCACCCTGACCCACTTTGAGAGTCCATAACGTAACACAGCTGGTAATAGATATGTGAATGTGATGTGATTCAGGGTAGCTGATATTGCAAGTGTGGGGGATTGTACCTGTGTACGACAATCACACACAAATACCAAGGGTGCCTGAAGTCAAATTATATTATCTGTTTTCACTGTGTGACTGGGACAGGTTGGACACATATTGTGCTGGAGTGAGTATCTAATGTTGTTCTGTATTGGTAATGCTATTACCATTGAGCGTGTGTGTTACAGCTAAGGATGGAAAGATCAATGCCCCAAAGTGCCTGCAACCTTCACAAACCCAAGGCAGATAGGTGGTGGATATAGGATACAGGATTTCTGTCCTGGTGACACAAAGCCCTAGGATAAGTTTAGAGGTTCAGACCCTGCAAACACATGCAGGATGGATGTGTGCAGCAATGTTGCTCTCAAGTAAGCCAGCTACATGGGCCTGTGCTTTCAGGTTGCTGACTCTGAACCCTCAGTTCAAAGGAGGATGAATTGCACTGTGGCGCTGCAGGACAGCTAAGCTGTAACCTCTGGAAGCAGCCCTGAAAGAAACTTTAAAGTTTCTATGTTAGAAGTTACAGTTTAGGTGATATAACAGAGAAGTCTTCCCATGTGCCAAGATTTGGGTTGCTTGGGTGGCACAGCAGGAGAAGCTGCACCGCATGCTCTGCCACCTATCCCTCTTGGTTTTCCTTGGGGTGTATATTGTAGGAGAGTATGGCTGCTTCCCATTCATCTGAACAAAGTGCTGGGAAGAGGGTAAGGGTGGTGTTAATATTTCATCACTTCACACATGCTTTTGGTACAGTTTGTCAAGGTATAAATACCTTTATCCTTTGTCTGGTGATGAGCCCCAAACTACAGTCACTACTGTGTTTGGCAGCAGCACTCTCTCAGCAGAAGCGGTTGAGATGAGATGAGTGGAGCATAATGATATAATTGCAATCACAAATAAGGGAGGAGGGTAGATTGTGAAGATAAAAACCCAAGTAACAGTGGCAAATGACAACACTACTATCAAAGCAGTGTTTGGCTAAGGTGTCAGTAGGAGTCTTTCCATGGTATTGTATTTTCATTTAAACATCCTTGGAGGTATTATCATGCTTACTCTAAGCTTAGCTTTGACTAAAAAAAAAAATAGAGATTTTTCTACTGAGAAATGTCAGCTCTCACTCTGCAAACTTTTTCTTGCAGTTAAACATGCTCAGGTAACATTAAGTGACTATTGAAGTACCTGCAGGACTGAAACTGATGCCTTTGCCTTGCTGAGGTTGGAAAGGCCTCGTTGAGCTTGTTGAGGTGAAATGGGTTCACCTAACATGTCTCACTTGAGAGATACTACTGGCTGGATAGCTCAGATGCTGGGCAGTAGTACAGCAGTCAGTTGTAACCTGTTTGGTTATGACTGTCATAAAATCATAGAATGGTTTGGGTTGGAAAGGCCCTTAAAATCATCTAGTTCCAACCCCTCTGCCATCCTTTGCCTTCTGAGGGCAGGGATGCCTCACACTAGACCATGTAGCCCAAGGCTCTGTCCAACTGCCAGGGATGGAGCATTCACCACTTCTCTGGGCAACCCATTCCACTGCCTCACCACCCTCATAGTAAAGAACTTCTTCCTTGTATGTAACCTAAAATCTCTCCTGTTTAAGCTTGAGTCCATTACCCCTTGTCCTATCACTATAGTCCCTAATGAAGAGTCCCTCCCCAGCATGCCTGTAGGCCACTTTCAGATACTGGAAGGCTGCTATGAGGTCTCCACGCAGCCTTCTCTTCTCCAGGCTGAACAGCCCCAACTTTCTCAGCCTATCTTCATACCAGAGGTGCTCCAGCCCCTGATCATCATGGCCTCTTCTGGACTTGCTCCAACAGCTCCATGTCTCTTTACCCTTCTGTAGGCAAGTTGCAGTGCTGAGCAGTGCTGACCACAAAATAGAGGCAGGATCAGCATTACTGCAACATTAAACACACAAAAAAAGCAGTACACCACTTAGTCCCGTTGTTATACAGCAAGATGTTGCCTTTAGAGAGCTACATAGCTGTGTTTGTTTCTAAATAGTTAACAGTTACTTGGAGTTTCTCTCAGCTTTTAGCCTTTTGGCTTTTTTGTTCTGTAAGTTAACCAAAGTTCGGTGTTTACTTGTGGATTTTCTCATCCTGTGTAATGTTACAAATGGTCCTGCAGCTGACACAAAAGGTTATTGAAGCATCAATGTACCCTGTCTGCAAACAGCTTTGGAAAAATGGAGACAGCTCCCACAGGGGCTCTAGAACAAGATACTGGGAATTCCCTTTGCTCAGGTACCAATTTCTTGGCAGCAGCTATGAACCTTTCAGGAGCAAGGGGTCTGCTTCTTCCTGATGAACATGAGGAATGCAAGGAACTACACTAGCTGTGATCTGGAAGGGCAGCAGACATTTCCTTGTCTTGATATTTGGTTTTTCCCTCTCTTTCAGCATGAATAGCCATACCCAGGAAGGTCTGTATGAATGAATATCATGGAGAAAACTCAGCCACAGCTCTCCCAGCTTCAGGCTAAGGAAGGGTGAGTCACATTAGGATTTTGCATATGCAGAAGATCTTTGTGTTAGTTAAGTTACACTGATTCAGGAGTATCCTGCATGCCTCTAATTCACCAAGGGGAAGCTGTCTGCCTCACCCAGGAGATGCAATAAGGGCAACTTTTTAAATAGGATCATTAGGTTTCCACTAGAGGCTGCACTGGTCTGAGCACACTTCCCAGTACAGGCACACTCAGTACCTCCTCACCTGGAGCCATGCATGCAGGAGGAATTTGCTACAGAAGCAATAACATGAGTTTAATATAGCAGCCTCCCTGGGATATGAGCAGTAGCGCCTAACACATAAAAGCACTGCATCAACCACCCTTGCAAAATCTCACTGGCAGAAACCCCACTGGTGTTTTTTGTGGTGAAGCAGCTTTGGTGATGATGGCTGCAACTACACCGAGCTATGGGCTGCTGCCCGAGGTGCAGACCCTGAGCCCCAGGTGAGGAGCAGTGCCAGGTAGTGCTCATGGGCTTCCTTAGGTTTCTGTTCAGATGGGGCCTGCAGGAGCAGGCATGGGTCACCACGCTCAAATGCCAGTTCCCGAGTCCTTCAAAGCATGGTGAGAAGAGCTGCAAGAAGGAAATGCCTGGACTTTGTAGTTCTCCACCAACCATGTGTTTATTCATAGTGCTACAAAAATGGCTTTTGGAGTGAAAAGGTAAGAGCTTCGGGTTGAATGGTGTACAAATAGTTAAGTGTTTTGCTGAGGTCTACTTATTTACTGTCCTGGGTTGTTTTCTTGTAGGAGGTGCTCTCAGCTTTTAGCCTTCTGGCTTTCCTATTTTGGTTCTGTGGATGTTCACATATGGGGGTAGCTCTGATACATCTGTAATTCAGCATGTCTTTCATGAGCGTGGCAAATTGGGTCTCCGTCTTTTATAGCCTTTTGAGGCTTTATGCTTTGCAGGACCATTCACCCCTGCCTTGGTTGATGACTTGAGCAGATGTGTTGAATTTAGCCCTAAGACTTCCACCTTTGCAGGTAAAGAGGTATGTTACCATGCTTACCATCAAGATACTAAGCATTTATATATATTTATGAAGAACGCCAGTTGGAGCAGCATGGAGTTGGCTATGTTTCACCCCTGGAAAGGAGCTTCACCCCTGGAAATCACTTACTGGAAGGGGAGAGAACCTGGCTGCTGTGACTATAGTTTGATGTACCCAGTTTGCTTAAAAACAAAGCATGGGTTTAAAAACAAAGCATGGGTAGCAGGAGAGAGCTCAGAGAAATGAGAAGAATGAGGTGCCTGGTTTTGCCTTCTGTGTTGTTATTAAGAGGGCTTTAGGAGTTCCTGTTGGCAAACAGCCCCAGCTGGGGTATCTCCTGTCTGAGCCCCTGTTATAAATAACTCTTCACGGAATCCCCATCTTCCTTTTAAACTAAACTGGTAGGAGCAGGACCTCCTGGCCATCCCTTTGGTAGGGTTCCTGGAGCAGATGCTCTCTATTTTCAGCTGTACCCCCAATTGCTGTGGTGCTGACGGTGTTGGACAGTGTGACACTTTCAGGTGGAGGGGACGGTACAAGCGGCGGGGCTGGGGCACAGCAGGCGGAGGGGTGCCGGGTTTCCCCCCGCAGGCCAGCCGGGCTGGGGGCGAGCAGCGCGGCCAAGAGAGGGATTCAGTGCCATTGCTGCTGTGGATCGAGTGCCCCCTTGGCGCTGCCCTCTGGGGCTCCAGGAGGCTTTCGGGGCTCGCCAGGTTACCGCGGGCGGCCGGGGCGGTGCCGCCGTCCCCAGGGGAGGGCCGGGGGGATCCCGCCTCGCCGCCCGGCCCCTTTGCATTGCGCATGGGCCCTCCCCGCCGGGTGGCCATGTTGCAGACCTAACAGTCAGCGCAGAGCGGCGGCGGACCGGGGAGCGCAGCGTACTGCACCGCACCGCGATGGCCGTGGCTGTGGGGAGACCGGCGGTGGGTGCTGCAGCGGGGCGGGAGGATGGATCGGCGGCGTGGTGCGAGGCTGGCGGGGCATCGCCCCAGCGCGGCGGCGTGCAGCGCCGGGGATGGCAGGGTGCGGTGCCCGGGGTGCAGTGCGGAGGGTCGCGGGGTGCGAGGCCGGAGGTGCTGCCGCCTGTGCCCCTTTTCCAGGGCCCGGCGGGGTCACACAAAACTTTTTCGCCCCGGTTTGGGGGCGCGGGTCTTTGTTGCAGCGGGGCCGGGCCGGCGGAGGGCAGCTCCTCCCGAAGCCCTCCGCTGGAAGCGGCCGGGAGGCACCGCGGTGGTCCCCGGGCTGCTCCCGTCGGGGCTGGGGCCGCTTTCGGTGTCTGGCCGCGGGTGTTTCTGCTCTGCCGACTCCCATGAAGAGAAAGCTGGGGAGTGGGGAGGGCTGTGCCTCGTAAGCGGTGGGCAGCAGCCCCCGGGAAGAGGTTTCAGAGGCTCGGCTGCGGCGGGAGCAGTGGTGCAAGTCCCGGCGTGGGAGTCTTCGGAGGCACACGCGTGCTCTGCATCTTCCAGCATGACCGCGTTTCTGGGGATGTGGTGGCCGGGAGATTTTTACATCCATGTTGGGGAAGACGTCAGATTTCCCTTATAAAGGAAAGGTGGGGGGGGAACCCAACCCAAAACCCGCCAAATCCACAAAAACTAACAGATGCTATTCCCGGGAAGGGAAAAAAAATAAAAAATCTGCCTTGCATCGAGCTTGCAGAAACGTGAATGAAACTCCGCCGTGACCAGACTGAATGCACTTTTGTGCATCGTCGGCCGGGGGAGGGAGAGAGACTTGACCGATTTCCCAGTAACTTTTTCAGTGCTTGTGAGTGAAACAGATGTTGCCCGTGAGCAGAGGACTTGAATGTGGCTCCTTCTTGTAATAAGCACATGGTCTGTGTTCAAGATGTGATCAGGGTGAGACAGTTTCTCTCAGCTTTTATTATACACTCATGGATCTGCGGGGCTGTGTGGGTCTTCTGATATAGCGAAGCAAATGTATGAAGAATGGGGCTCATGGTGTTACTGGAGGTGGGAAGTAATGCTATTAAGCATAGAAAGAGCTGATGTTTGTTAACAGCATACCTATGAAGTATTGCAGCTGTTTGTGAAGCTTCTTTTGAAATGACTCCTTGATCTTAAAGTCCGAAGCATGCTTGGAAATAGAAATTTGTCTTTCGGTGTAAGAAGATGCACTGAAATTGTTAATTGAGTTGGTTTTAAAGGCAAGCTGAAGGGTATTGCCAAGCAGAGCCATTTTGCTTTGTGTGGAGCAGCAGCCTTGCAAGACGAATAGGCTTAGGAACATGCCTCACTGCAAGACATGGTTGATGTTTGTCTTTTGCTTTGTTTTTCTGTCATTATATTAAACTCAGCTTCTTGCAGTTTTGGTGAATTTAAGTTCACAAGCAATCTCCAAACAGCATCTGCAGAGGGTTTCACACCAGTTAAACTTAATTCATATTTGAGTGCCACTGAGCCCAGTCCAGTGGGACTGACTGCAGAATAAAGCATCCTCTGGTGTGAGAACCACATGTGTGTGGGAGAGGGAAAGATGAGGGCACTCAGCTTCCTCCCAGGCAACTGGTGGGCAGGCGTTCATCGTCTAGAATCAAATTGCTGCTTTTGGAGAAGAGAGTTGTCTTGTCTTGGGGTGATAAGAGAAGAAAGGACAGTGGGCTGGTGTTTGGTAGATGTTGGGGGTGTTTGTCTCGGACAGCTCTTATCTAATCCTCTCTGCTACTGCTTTGAATGCTGCTGTTGTTGCTGGGGGGTGGTAGGGAGTTTGAAGAAATAGTTAATTATATGTTAAAGCAAGACTGATGAATGTTGGCCTTTCAACATAATAATCATATTTTTATAAGGGCCCTTAGTGGTATGTGTCTTGTTGGAGGGTAGAATTAAAGGAAGGGGGAAAGAAAAGAGACTAAAATCGATGATTGCATTGAGTCACAACCTCTTATGTCCTGGCAGGATATGGCATTATGTTAATTGTAAAAGCATGCATAAAAAATAACTTGAGTGAACTGCTCTGAAGTGCCTGTGTTTAATTGCAGGTGAGCAGGGTGTGTTTTGGTGGGATGGGCGGCTTACATTTGAGGGCCCTGTCCCACAGATGTGAAAGCACATGTGTACTGCGCTGCCTGTAATTTCATTTGACTTAATGGAAATGGATCTCGGTATGCAAACGTAAAGGTATGCATAAGCAGAGTTTTGGCACAGTTGGTGCTGGGAGCTGCCATGGGACCTCTCAGCTGATAAAAGCCATGCATGTGCTTAAACATACGTCAGGGTGGAAGGATGCATATGGGCTCAGTGTGAGATAAGCCACTTGCACTCTGCAAAATGGTGAGGTGTGCTGGGCAGTAGACTCTCTTCCTTCTCCTGGGTTAATTCCCAGCATCTTCACCAGTGCTGGATGGTTTCTCAGTAGTTTGAACCATGGAAGAGGGCTCTGTCCTCACTGACATTCTCTTCATTTGTTTATCCTAAGTGCTTACAGAATCATAGTTTGGCCTAGCTGAAGGAGCAAAACTAATGCTTACTCATATGTATATACAAATTTGTTCTCCCCTCCAAGTCAAACAAAAATTGATGGAGAATAAAGCTGGAATACAAATTTTACATAGGGAACATAGAAAATGGTATCTGAGAAATTGAAACAGCACAGTGTATTCTTCCATCTGTTTTAAACACACTTGATAATGAGAAGCTGTCAGGAGTGGAGGGGATGAAAGAGGGAGGCAAGAAGGTAGAGCGGGGCTCATGGAGCTGAAGGCTTCACGTGCATTATCTTTCTCTGAGTGGCAGAGACCCTAGGGTCAGCAGGAGCTGTGGGGCAGAGCCTTTGCAGCACAGCCACCATGGCCACTGGCCTTAGACAATGAGATGAGCACCAAGAAAGGGGTAACTCCTTGTCTCTGTCTGCTGACAGGTCAGCAGTGCCTTGGCTACTCTTAAGCTTGTCCCTTTCCAAGTTAACTGCAAGGCTGAGCTGTCCCTGCTGCCTGGTATCCTCCAGGGAGCATTGTGGGGCTGCGGACTCTCCTCCCAACGGATGTGGTGATTCTGTGGGCTTCTGTGGCTCGACTGGGGCTGCTGAGATGGCCACGAGCATGGGGTTTGGCTTCCTTGCCTGCTTTCACCTGCCAGGTCTGGCTTTTAGGACCTGGCCTGGCTCAGCTGCCTGCACCAGGGAAGCAGACCTGGGTGGTGCACACAAGACTTTTAGTTTGTGAACTCTTAATTTCCTTTGTTCACCTCAGCGCCTTGTTTGCAGTAGGAAATTCTTTCAGGCAATTCCTGTTGCTCCTGTTGATGTTAACAATGCTGGGAACCTGCCTTCTCCTTGCCTGGTTTTCAGCACACCCTCGGCTGTGGGGCAGGTTATGTGTCCAGCCCACCACAGTCTTGGAGCCTCTAGCTTTCCAGCATGAAGTGAGCTGAGCTGGAGTCAGGATCTGATGGTGATACTTGGAAAATCCTTATTTTGTGTGGATGGAATCATGGGGGATTGATTTCAGTGTCTGCGTAGGGCCTCTGAAACAATGGTGGGGATTGGCTAAGCAAGCAGCATGAATCTGAGAAGTAAAATATTTATTCAGAGCTGAGGCATGTTTAATATGTCCCCCTCCCACCCCTGCAGCCCCTGAGAGAGATGGCTTTGCTGGCTGGCTGCCTGCTCCAGAGCCATTTGAGGGTTGTCACTTCTGTTGTGCCCTTGGTGAACCTCTCCCTCTCGAGGTGTCGGTGAGAGCATGGGCATGATGCTGCTCCGTAGCTTATGCCTTGCTCTGCAGGAGAGGTGCCAAGGGGACAGGGTCTTCTGTGGACTAGGCAAGTGCTTCTGCCTTGTCCATCCTCTTTATTGGCTTGGTTTAGCTGCAGGCTTCAATCCTGTAAGGTACAGTGGCTCTTACTGGAAAAGCTACTGGAGCTGTTTTAGCTTAGAACAGTTAGGTGCAGCCAGGTGATGCAAAAAGAAACAGAAAAGCCCCACAGTAGTGCTTCAAGCTTTTTTTAGGTACGCTGTCTAGCTGCCTTCACTTCCAGCTCTGTGAGCAGCTCTCCAGCCTACTGTAATAAGTGATGCGTAATAATGGCTCAGACAAACACCACAGGGCTGTTGGCATTGGGCATTAGCACTGGTGGAGAATGCTTGAGGTTGGAGACAGAAAACCAAGTTCAGCATCTTGCTGTCTTAGCTAAGAGCAGCAGTAACAAAAATTTACCCAAAATGTTCTTCTTTTTCCCTATAAGTGCTGGTTTGTGTGCCACCATGTGATGCTTTCAGTAAGATGGGAATAAGAGATGATCTTTCTTGGCTGCTTCATTACATGTGAATGTCTTTCCCCCTCCTCTGGGGGGAAACCATGGTGCTGCTTGCTTGGGCAGATATGGTTGCTGTGGGTGTAGGCAAGGCCTGCTTGGCCTTGATGAGGCAGACAAGGAAGAGCCATAGGAAGGAGGAAGAGTTCCCTGTGGTTTTGTATTAGCAATGCTCAGCCCTTCTGCAAGCTTTCTCCCTGATTGCGCGCTCTGCTTGTCCAGCATAAGTGATACCCACTGTTGGCTGAAATGCGGTCCAAAGGATATTATTGGCATTTCACTAATAGTACAGTTATCTTACTGAGCTCTGCAATTCATGTATCTTGAGTTATCTTTAGGACTCCTTATTTTAAAATCCAGACTGTGCCAGTGTTTAGGAAAAATGGCCTTAGGATCTGAATTTGTAATTAGAGCCTTTGAAGTTGCTGAAAATATGGAGGAGCTGAATCTTTTTCTTGGAGGCTTAGGCTTTTCGTTTTCTTTAGTAGCATCCCACATAAGGTGATGGCAAACGGCAGACTACTGCTGGTTTTGGGGGTGGTTCTTACTTGTGTTGGGGTTTTTGTTGTTGTTTTTCATCTCAGCTTACAGCTTCTTTAGATCTTTCTATTACCTAATTGCATTTTCTGTTACTGTTTCTGCATCCCAGATTT